AGCCTTGCCCCCCAAAACTCTCCTGCCCCTCACTGTCATAGGATGGCTGAGTAATCAATGTGGGATGAAAAGAGGGAATCTCCTAAGGCACTCTGAGACTGAAAAATGAGCAAAAGCAGGGAGGAGGAGGCCTGACTGACTCTCAGGAATATCTTTCCTGGGGCTTTGAGGCTCACAGGTGGTTTTGATACAAACGGAAATATCATATAGAGTTTAGAACACAGGATGGGGGATCAGATTAACCTAGAATCAAATCCCGGCTCCACTTTTTACTCTCTCGATTTTCCTGAGCATTACTTTCTAATCTGTAAAATGGGCACAGTACTTGAACCAACCTTGGGGGGAGATGAGCTGAAGTGTTGTTTGGCTCCTGGTTGATGGTGAGACCCTCCCCCAGTGTCTGCCACCACAGAGATCACCACTGGGGTGGCTTGGAGTACCAGCCCTGCAGGATGGTGATGAGGCAGAGGTGCAGCTAGGATAGCAGACAAAGCCCAGAACACACACCTGGCTCAGCCCATGCCCCTGCATTAGTCTACGGGGCAGAACACAGAGGGAAGCAGTGCTGGCCAGACATAATGCAACATAGCAGAGGAGTCCAATTATGTATTTTAAAGTTGCAAGTGTCTTCCAGGAGGATAGCCTTTTATTTGGGTGAATCTGGGAGTTGTTTATCAGCTTAAACTCAATATCTGCACATATGGTCTTCCTCCTATGGTTAAGGATGGGAAACAAAGGCTGGAAGGGAAAGGATGGGCAAATACTAGCTGATAAAATATCAGCCCTTAAGTGTCAGAAACCAGGATATTTTCAGTGACGTCAAATTGGGCTTCCTGCCATGGGGATGGGGCTATCATAAGAATACTCACAAGATTTTAACTCAGGAGTCCCTCGGTGAGGGAGGAAGAGGAAAACAAAAGTGCAATTTATTTTATTCACCCTTGTCTTCCATCCCGAAAGCAGAAACACACACACACACACACACACACACACACACACACACACACACACATATACACACACACACACACCACACACCACACACAATACTCCAGCATATCAGAGCTGGAAAGGACAAAAGCTGATCCCTCCCCTTTCACAGTGACAGCAGTATGGATAATAATGATAATGACAATAGTGAATATGTGCTGAGCATTTACCACATGCCCGGCACCATGCTAAGTGTTTTACATGTTTTATCTCATTGACTATTCACAACAATCCAATGAGGTATTACTAGTCCCATTTTACAGATCAGGAAACTGAGGCAGTAGAGAGTGAATGGCCTAGGTCACACAGGTAATAAGTAGGAGAAAGCCAACATTCAAACCCTAAAGACCACACAACGCTGCCTCTGAAGAACAGGGAAACTAAGGCTCAGAGAGGCACGGTGACTCACTGAGGTCATACAGGTTCATTTGTAACAGAATCAGGGTTCAAATACAAGTCTCCTTACTGTTGGTTCAGTGACCTTTCCACTCCATCCTGTTGCCTCTTAGTATGTACACAAGCATACAACCAGTGATCATGTCTTGTTATCTCCAAGTTGTTTGATTCACTAACTGAATCAGCAGTTGTGGGCACAGAGAAGGGGCAAGGGTTGGACTTTAAGATAACAAATGCCAGGATAAAAATCCTGCTCTGCCAGTTGCACACACTGGGGCTCATCCTCTCAGTCTCTCTCTTAATAGTGTTTCATTATCTGTCCCAACCCCACCCCCCATCAGAGTGCTGATGCGGGTCCAAGGTGCCAGCCCATGTGGCAGGAGGAGCCCAGGCTGGCAGGTCTGCTCAAAGGCATCAGGTTGCAGAAATACCAGATCAACCAATCATCTGCTCTGGGGGACCAAAGTGCTGCTTTCCAGGGCCCCCTCCCTTTGCTCTGTTTTAGCTGAGCATGAACAAATGTTCCTGATTTTCCTTCACGGCTGATGAAGTTGGTCAGAAGAGCAGCCCTCTGAAAAGGGGGGGGGTCCCTGAAAGGGGCTGCCCAGCCACCAACATTTGCTCTTCTCAGGGAAGGGGAGTGAGGGCTGAACAGGGGTCTGATAACAGGCAACATGCAAGCTTGCAGACATGTATGGGGCTTTCAGCAGGCGCTGGGCACTGACATGACCCAAAACCACAATATGGCGAGGACAGCAGCCTGGTTCACTGGGCTATGTGGGGGTGGTTTGGGGTGAGGCAAGACAGCAGGAGGGGGGCCCTCCACTGGACAGAAAAGCAGAGCCAAACTGCCTCATGCCCTGAAAGCTTGACTTTAGGCTGCAAATCGCCCACCCCCAAGAATCTCCTGGGCCCACACCCTCATTTTAAAGTCTGGAAAGCGGGTTCAAGAGAAAAAGTGATTCACTCAAGGACACATTGATGATCTGGAAAATCTGTTTCCTCCCTTCCTGACTCCCTCCCACAAATCCCTGCCCCAATCCCTTGCCTCGATATACCCCTCCAACACCTGCCTGGCCCAGCACCCCATTCTCCAACCTACCCACCAGACCATTACAACCTCATTCGGTAACTCAGGGGGCTCTTTGCAGGTTGACAAGGAGTACTTCCCAGATCCACCTAAGGTGTCCTAACTCAAACTCCAGATTAACTTCTGCTTCTGGAAAGTGCCCTGGGACTCTCACTGATACACTGCCATTTGAGCCTCGGGGTGGGGAGGGTGGGGAAAGATACCCTAAGCCTTGAGGGTCGAGGGTCAGCCATTTGAATGGATCTAGGGATGGGGACACAAGGAGAAAGGGTGCCCAAGATTTGGAATTTTGCTGCATCAGAGCTTTGGATTTGCCTGGGAGCAGTCTGAGTCCACATAAGATATGCTAAATCCCAACACGGGCATCAGCTGCCTTGGGGGTGTCAACCCCCTCTTCTTTGCAGGGCAGGTGGGGTGGGTTGTGGGAAGGAGGCACAGAGGAGAGGTAACCCTCCTCTGTCACTCTCTGGGGCCCTGTGCTTACACCCAGGCTCCAAAAGCAGGGCTGCTCTAGGAAGGCTTTCCTCTGCAGAAAAACAAAACAAAACAAGAAACTCCTTTTGTTTTCTGGCCCCATGGAATGAATGTCTTGAAGATATATCCAGAAACATCGGGCTTCTCCACCCTTTCCTCAGTCTCCTCCCTCCTCCTCCTTTTCTATTCAAAATAAAAATCATGCTGTTATTTCTTTAGGGCAACTCTGGCCTAGAGCATTTTGGTAGCATCCAACAAAAACATTTGGTGGGCTACACTGAAAGCAAGAACCTCAACTCTCTTCCAGGGACTCTCTTTCCATCATCTGTGAAGGGCACTGTGGGGGCTCTGGAGGGGGGTGCGGGGCTGTCCAAAGAGCACACGTTTCTGGCCAAGAGAAAGATGAAAACGCCCTCCAGCCATTATGAAGCCATTTATACTCACTTGGGGTGCATCAAGGGGGAAGGAATTAGAGAGAAAGAAGAGGCAAAAGTCCATTCAGCGTTCCTTCCAAGTCCAACAGCCCCACACATGACAAAGATGGTGCTCCTTACAGATGCCAGCAGCCGTCTTGCTTCCCAAGGCCTCTCCACAGACATCCAGAGTCAACATGCAAGGGCCCTGAGGTCAGACAACCAGACACACATAACAGGTTTCTCCCAATAACTGGAATGACGGGACGAATGTTGGCCTGTAGACCCCAGACCCAGAGGGGCAGGGGCTCTCATTGACTGCTGAGAAATTTAGCACTTGAACCTTTAAAAGGTCCCCGTTACCCTCACCCTGTGCCTCCCGGGTGCCTTGCGTGCAGCCAGAGGACGAGTAAGGGGGTCTGTACCCCGCGACCCTCATCCAGTCCACACCGGGTAAGGATCTGGCCAGTTCCAGGAAACAAAGGTACAACTTCTACAAAAAGGGTGTGTTCAGGCATTCAGGTTTCAGAAAGCTCAAAAAGTTACTTCTCCCAACCACTTTCTCCACACCAATTCGCTGTTAGTGTTAAGTTTTTGTCGTTTTGGTTTCTGGGGAGGTAAATTTTTTATTCACCCATACACCCTGCCAGCACCCCAAGGAAAACTACCTCATGACAGCCAAGCTTGTTAGCACAAAGTGGCCCAGCCTACTGCTCGGTTCCTGTACTTAAGTCCGACTGGCGGGGAGGGTATGCTCCTTGAGGCGGGTCCCCGCGTGCGGTGAGTGTCTGTGACTGTAGGTCCTGGATTCCTGTCTCGAAGGAACCAGAACTCGCCTTCCTGTAGGGGAAAGGGCCAGGGAAGGGCGCCCCCTGGCGGGGGCCAACTACCCCAATCCAGTCGCTACCCAAAGCGGCGCTAACCCACCCGAGCCGACCAAACCCTTGAGCGGGAATCTCACTACTCTCCCTGAAAATGGACATGCCCGGGCTTCGGATCCACTGACAACCCCACGGAGTCTCGGCCTCCCCAGATTGCACACACCCGGTAGCGGGTAAGGCGGGCCCCAGAGGAAAGACTGGCGACCCCGCCCCGCCCCGCTGCCTGAGACCCAGAAGGCGGCCCTCCCTCAGCTCCCTGCTGTGCCCAGCAATGTTCCCGGCCCGGATCTAGGCTCCTAATCCCGAGTCCCCTACCTGTCCTCCTACAGAGTGGTGTGACGCGAACCCTCTTCCTCGGGGCGCAGCCCTCGCGAAACCCTGACCCTTGCAACCCCACCTGCCGCCGCCAGCCGCCCCCCGCCGCGCCCCATTCATTCTCCTGGCGCCCTCCACTCACCTCCCCAGAGCGCTCGCTCCGACCGACGCTGCACCTGTCGGGGGAAAGCCCCAGCCCCCGGCGGATTCGGGGCAGGGGGGTTCGGGATGAGCACGTCTCCTCTGCTCTTTTCCCATACTAGTTTAAGTAGAACTTGGGTCCTAGGCTTCCCCAGGACCGTCCTGGGATTCTCCCCGCACACTCCATCCCCACCCCCACCTTACCCAACAGTCGCCTGGGAAAGCGCGTGCGGGGTCTCCAAGTCCCGGGGGACGCAGCGGCGGGAAGCACCAAGGGCACGGAGGAAAGGAGTCCCTTACCTTCCAGAGACGGCGGCCGGACGCCGCGCCAACTCCCGCGGACGGCTGCGGGGGAAACTTTCCCCGGGCGGAGAGGCGCGCTCTCAACTTGCTCGGCGCTCGCTGTCTTCCTGGCGGTGGCGGCGGCGACGTGTCCGGGGACCGGCTGGCGCAGGCGGCGGCGGCGCTCGCTCACGGCCGGGGCCCGGGGTTCGCGCGGCCTCGCACGGCTTGGCTGCGGATCGCTCGGCGCTACGTCCGCCCCGCAGCCTGTAGCCCCCGAGACGCCGGCGGCAGCTGCAGCCGCCCGCCCGCCCGCCGGCCCCACCTCCCAGCCACCACTCTGTCCCTCCCTCTCCCCCGCGCTCCCTCCCCTCCCCAAGCCTCCCTCTCTTCAGGCTCCGGCACCGCCGCTGCGGCGGCCGCCTTGAAGGCACGTCTCCGGCAGTTCGCCCCTCGCCTCCTCGGTAACTGGGTCTGCGCCTTCAGTCCAGCATTCAGACCTTGCTGTGGGAGCCCCTGACGCTACCCTCTGCCCTCCTCCAAGCCCTGCTTGCCTCCCCACCCCCCACCCCCGCTCCCGCTCTGCTCCTTTGGGCCTTGCTTCCTCTGAATTCAGGCGATCCATGCGTTAGGGAAAAGGGGAGATTGGCACACTAGTCCAGAGTATTAATCCCAGAGAAACTTTCAGGCTATTCCCCCTTCAGCCGACTGCAGGGCTGAAGATGAGACGATTCTTCACCTAGACTCACTGCTTAGCGCCGCAGCCCCAGGAGTACCTGTTGAAAGCCAGGGGGTCAGCTTTCCCTGGACAGCTTTGGATTGTTGCATGGAATAGAGGGGAGGGAGGGGCTGCAGAGGGGTGGGGCGTGGGGGACGGTTGCTGGTTCCAGACCAGACCCAAAGGACTCAACTGCAAGAGGCCAGACCTAGGTCTACAATCTCTGATCTATCTCTTTTGTACTACTGCCATATCCATATACTGGTCCCCAGCTCCTGAGCCATTTAACCTCTGAACCTCCCCTGTAAAGCACCTACCCCCACCCCGCCTACCCCAGACAACATGGGCAAGCAAGCAGATCAAAGGGGACAGCCCAAGTGAGAGTGCCTGGTGATCCCCCAGATGACAGGGACTTAGGTTGCCCACTCCTCTTCTCTGGGGAGCTCATTTTTTGTGTCCCAACCCTGCATGAAGCTTCCATACCCAGCACCTGCTAGCCATGCACATTCAAGCACACACAGGATCTGCTGGAGCTCCTTTGGCTAACTGATTGACACTAAAGTGAGTGACTGATGGGAATTGAACCTATTCTAGTCTTGGATACGAATGATGTCGGTCATGTCAGTCCACAGGGCACAGTTTCCAGGGGCAGGAAGCTGCTGCCTTTCCTTACCCACATTCCAGGAAAAGGATGCATTCTTCTAAGGATTTCGAGGATGTCTGGTCCTTGGAACCATTTCACTGAGTAAATTGAGGAGGGGCTAATAGAGTAGAAGTATGGCCGGGAGAAAAAAACCTGGATCCACAGTTTTTAAATGGACTAAGAGGGAGCAATGCTTAACCCAAGGGGAGAAAATCTCTAGGAGTGCAATTTCTGTAAAACAAGGATGAGGAAAGCTCTAAAAGGCTTCAGGTTCCACATTCAACCCTTCAGCTGCCAAAACAGGATTGGGGAAAGAGGCTGACCTTCCTGCTGAGAAACCCGTAGGCTCTGTGCTTATGGAATGCTGTTGGAAGAGGCTGTCTGTGTGGGCCTGCTTGGACGCAAGGCGCCACATAAATTTAAAGAGGAAAAAAGCATGAGTCTACAGTGAGGGTGCAGGGCCTGGGAGGTGGAGGCCAGAGACAGCAGGAGGGAAGGATGGAGTTTCTGTGGGATTGGTTGAAGCAGGCAGGGAGTCGGGGAAGAGAGAACAGGGAGATAGAAGAAGGCAGGCCAGTTAGCCAGCTCAAATACCACTCCATTGAGAGGAATGTTCCAGTTCCAAGTCTGAGTTTCCCAGACATCAGCCCTTCTCCTGCCTCCATGGAGAATCTGGCCCTATCCATGCCCCAGATAGGGAGGTTTGCTGAATAGCTTTCTTTAAATTAGCTCTTGTTTCTTTCTTTTTTTTTTTTTTACTTAAGTGTGTTTGTTTTTACAAAGAAATGTTATATCATTACCGTAAATGGAAAAACAGCATCATATTACTATAAATAGAAGGTAATCATAAAAATAAATACGGTGAAAATAAAACAGTGTCATTAAATTCTAACAATGTGTATATAGCCACAATAAAAAAAATTCCAGCAAGATATTGCTGCCTAAGGAAGGTTCTGAGCTGGAGGGAGATTGAGGAGGGCTAGAAAGGCGTTAAAGACACATTAGCAACAAACTGAGATCCCAAGTTGTGATCAAAAGAGTTGAAAGAGACTTGGGAGGAACTCCCCCACCTCCAGCATCCCCTCTGGTCTCAGGGTATTGAAGGCCCAGGGATGAGTGACCTCACACTTCCTTTGAAGATCTCAGATGTCCCACAATTGGGAAACCCATGCTAAGTGTATCAGGCAAAAGTACCTCTGGCAAAAGTAGAGAACACCAAGAGTTTAGTCCTGGACAAAAGACGGTGGTTCTGGTCGCAGAGAGTGGGCTCGCACTCACAGGGTGACCTTAGGGAAGGCCCTCCCTTCTCTGGCCTCAGTGTCTCCACCTGTACAATGAGGGACGTGGACAAATGGTCTCTAGGTCCCTTTTGCTATTCTTTGATATAAGCAAAACAGGAGCTGAGATTGTAGCTTGTCAGGAAACTGAGAGGTGAAGGCCTCACCAAGGAGCGGGGACAGTGGGAGGAGGTTGGGAAAGGGAGAAAGGGGCAGGGGAGGAGCTTATGGACAAAGGCCAGCAGTCCTCCAGAGGCCCTGAAGGTAGTATTAAGGCCACTGCTGACTGATTGGCATCTAGGTTCTCATAAGCCCAGAAGTGACCCAGTCCAGAAGGTTCTAGGTTCCCTATTTGCCCATTCTGAAATGAAACTCATGAAGAAACCACTGTAATTCAACCACCTCATTTTACAGATGGAGAAACTAAGGAAGAACCACAGATTAGATCCAGTCATGGTTGGAAAGCTGGGTGTCAGAGGCCAGGGCCCTTTAAACTTGCTGGTGTTTGGGGGGTCTTGGGAAATGATTTTTTTGAAAATACCTTTCCTCCAAGTGTCGCTTAGACATCACGTTTCTCTGTCATCTAGAAAAAACATTGAATTGGCCTGAAAACCCTGAACTTGCCTGAGCATGGCCTGCTGGGTAGCCCAGGTGCTATGTCCCAGTCATTGGACACAGAACAGTTGGGGTTAGTATCCGCACCCTGGCATCCTGGGGACACTAGCATAGAGCAGAGAGCCCCAAAGCAGGCATCCACAGGCCCCAGTTCCAGTCCTGGAGATCCTGGCAATTCCCTTCCTTCTCTGGGCCTCAGTGTTCCCATCTGTAAAATGAGATGTTTGGGCAATGCATCTCAAATTGGCCAGCAGTCCCTGCTCCCATATACCTAATACCCATGAGCAAGGGTAGGAAATCTCCCTCCCAGTTTCAGCCAGAAGCAGATTCCCTTTTCATCTGTTTTGTAGGATGGTGTCTCACATAGATTTCAAGGAGAAAACTTAAAATTCATTTAAAAAGAATTTGAACTCACAAAAGGGATGACCTCTTGCTTCTAACACTTAAAAATTTGTGGCTGATAAGACTGTGAGCTTCTCAAGGACTCAGATCCTACTTCATCTCTGGGCCTCCAGGAACTGGCCCAGAGTCAGCATTCAAGAGGACATTGGATGCCACTTCCTAATTGTGTCACCTCAGGCCATATGCTTAAACTCTCTGAGCCTCCACTGATGCATTTCTGAAGAGGAATTGTAACCGCACTACTGGCACTGGACAGCTGTGAGATTTTCACAGAAAACTCTCAATGCAGCCCATGGCATATTACAAGTGTTCAATAAAGGTGAGTCTGATGCATGAATAGATGGTTGGAGGATGGTAGATGGGCCATGACCTTTCTTTCCCCAGGAGGCATCTTGATCTTAAACCTAAGCTTTTCCAGAGCAGTCTGCAGTTTAAATATTTAATCATTTTCTCTGATTTTTTTCTCAATTGTCTTTTTATATGTAATTTGCAATCATTTCTCCAAAAAATGACAGTTCATTAAATGTACCACTGAGTGTGATTGGGTTTGTTTATCTTTGCAATTATTTTCATAGAAATAAATTTGCAAATCCTAGGAGCATCCTTTGGAGTTTTGAAGAATAAGGTCTTTACCCTCCAGGGCCTGGATAGTCATATGGATCCCCTTTCTGTCTCTCTTTTTCTCCCTCCAACAAGCTACCCACAGGCCCCTGTGGCCAGCCTCTCTGAGTGTTATCAGCACCAGGCCCCAGGGCTTGCCTACCAAGGCCCTCCTCCACCTCCAGGAATGTACTGACTGGGCATCAGAAGAAAGGGGTGGTGCTCACACCCTCCCCGCCATTCCCCACTGCAGGAAAAGAGGTACATTCTGGATGGCTGTCCTGGGAGGGGCACAGGGCCATGCTTCCTCCGGGTGCTTTATAGCTGGCTTTTCAGAAAGCAGCTCCCTGGGAATAGATTGTGCCAGACAAGAAAACTGCTGAACCTTCATTATCCATCTTGTTTTTCGTATTGACTGATAGTAATAATACATTCCTACTAACTGCCATTCATGGAGTGCTTGCTTGGGTAGAAGCTCAAGTTATGAGGTTAGACAAACCCAGGTTCAAAGCTTGGCACCTTTATTCATCAGCTGGTGGCTTTGGGCATGACACTTCGCCTCTCGTGCTTTAGACACCTCATCTTTAACATGAGGAATAGGTACTATATGCCAGGCACTGGGATAAAGCCTTTTGAGCATGAATTCACTTAAGCCTCTGAACAACTCCATTAGGTAGGTATGGCTGGGAAGCCTGTTTTACAGAGAGGGAAACTCAGAGAGACCTACCCAAAGTCACCCAGCAAATAAAGAACTGAAATTCAGGCCATTCTCTTTTTACTTCCATTAGGACACTTGCTCATGAAAGAGAGAATGGTGGGCAGAGAGGAAGTTCAATAGACCTGGGCCATCCTGGCATGGAACTTTCAGGCTATGTGGCCTTGGCTCAGTGGCCTAACTTCTCTGAGCCTTCCTCTTCTTGAGAAGGAGATAACACCTATCCTATAGGGTAGTTGTAAACATTGAAGGAGGTGATGTCTGCAAAGGACTTTGAAAACCAGAAAGTGTGTAACAAATGTAAGTCTTATTTT